CAGCAACTACAGACCAGTGTCACTCCTGTCAATCACTGGTAAGATCCTTGAGACAATAATCTCAAGACAAATGACAGAGTTTTTTGACTACCACTCACTACTTTGTGATCGTCATATGGCTTCAGGAAAGGCTACTCTGCTGCTGATCTGTTGTTAAACCTCTCCACTAAGTGGCACCAGTCACTGGATGAATCCAAAGTCAGCTGTGTGGTAGCACTGGACATTGCTGGTGCTTTCGACCGGGTGTGGCACCAGGGCCTCTTAGCAAAACTTCAAGCACGGGGAAAAGCGGGCTCAATGCTATGTCTCCTCAGTGATTACCTTCATGGGGATCTCTAAGTGTTTCCAAGGGAACGGAATCGCAAGACACCATTGGGGCAATGTTCCACTGGGAGTGTGTGGGCCCATTGTTATAATGCTACTTCAACCCCCTTCTTTATCTCTCCCAGAATCACATGCTATCAGAGACTGTACCTGACATTCACTTATCCAAAGAAAAATGCCACTGCTCTAAGCTATTAATCACCAGCTAAGAGCTGTATCACTTGGGGGGAAAAGAGGGGAAGTAACATTGACTGAGAAAAAAGCAAAAAGATGATGTCTCTAGGCACCCTTTTGGGAATGCTGGTTATAGAAGGAAATGGGGGGGGGGTTGCACCTGGGGGAAAAGTTATATCCTTGGGGGTTAAATTTACTCCAAAACTAACCATGAAGAACCATGTAAATCTTGCAAACAAGGCAGCCAGGAAGCTTACAGCACTTCGCCGTATCTCACATCTGCTTGGCAGTGGGGGTTGCAAGATTCTGTACGAGGCAAAGTATGCTCACACCTCGAGTAGCTCCACTTTCTTGGTTTGCCTGCCCCCTCCTCTCATCTGCGACTGCTGACAGAGTGGAGAACAGAACAAGACGTCTCATCTCTCGCCTGGACCATCCTGGATAGATCGTCATTTAAAGCAAGGCCTTCAACACAGGAGGATGTGGGTGGCCTTACTGTTATGTTCTCAAACTAACCAGAACCAGGCTCGTTCTTCCAAATTCGGGGGAATCCGAGCGCCCCAGTCTACTCGTCCAGTCGTGACAGTAGGTGATAACGAGTACACCATCCCAGTTCAAAGTTCCTATGAACCCTTTTAGCCAGCCTTGAGAATGACAACCTCGCTGTTGATGCTGCTTCACACGTCTCTGACGTAGAGGAATTTGGGGATGAAGTAGAAAATGCCTTCTCCGATGACAACCCACCCTTCTGTTTGCACATAACTCCTAATGAAACAATTAGGTCCTTTGTACAAGCTTCTGTCCCAAGCGCCCGTTCATGTGTTCATGGACTCTGGTGCGCAATTAATATCATCAGGTCTAGCTTGTTTAAAGAGAAGCGTTATGCCGTGTCCCCTCGTTGAACCAACTACTGTAACCTCCCTTAGTGGAGTAGCTGGTTCCCTCCTGCGTGTCCGAGGTCAGACTTCGATCACCTTTACTATCCAAGGTAGAGACTTTACTGCTGCTTTTTTGTTTGTCGACCAGATTACTTTCCCTGGTGACCTTCTCTGGGATTTGCTTCCATGCGAGACTTACGCATTGGTGCTCGACCCTTACCGATGGCATGCCCAAATTGAAAGACTTGATCGTTCCATTTTGGGGGTTACCAGCTTGGATCAGAAATCTGCTACTGCCGCAGAGTATGATGTACGGATTAAGTCCTTACAAGCCAATGGATTTTCCAGTAGCGTACCCAAGCGGTCAGGCACTAGAACTCTGTCACTCCCATCTGTGGGTTTCCCCCTACACCTTCAGATATGCAAGATAGTTTTATTTCCTCAAGTGTCCGAGGCACTCAGACTGCCTTGAGTGCTCAGCCTATCTCTGTAATGCCTGCTAGTCCAAGTAGTAGTTTCTCCACAGGGGAAAGCCTTGTCGGAAAACGATTACTTGAAACTAGTAATGCCATCTCTTGTTGATATCACAATGCCGTATGCAGAAAGACGTCTCTGTTGCGGCTAGTGCTCTCACTAGAGTGTCTGTTGTTGTTCCTTGTGTTCCAGATGGTGATCCCATCCTAGTTGACAGTAATTCGTGCAATGTAAGAAGTTATTTCTCGAGTACTTTCACATGTTGTTAACGTTTGTAAGTGAAGTTTCTTTTTAGCTGATACCTCGTGTCACTGTGTGCGACCCCAGTTGAATATCAGCATTGTTCACCGTGTTCATTTCTTTTCCCCTGTGCTTGTAGTGAGAGATAGCAGATTCGTTCTCCCTTGCTCATATTGCGTGTCATAGCGTTAATTTTTTCAACCGGGGAGAGTCATCCACTCCATCGAGTTTGTTTATTCCTCCAGTAAGAAAGAACCGATCCCTTGTGTTCTGGTGATTCGATTCCTGCTCCAGGAAGATCTTATTCTGACTGTGAAGCCACCAGCACCCATTAGTGACTTTGTAATGAGCCAAGAATCACTGTATCGAACAGCCGAGTTGGGTACTCCAAGTAGAAGAGTATACCAGTTAGTAATTCCACAGTCACTAGTGAATGTAGCTCTACAGCTAGTTCATGATGCACCAAGTGTTGCACACCCTGGTATGGATCGTTCTGTGAAACAAGCCAGAATGAAGTACTTTTTTGGCCACGTAGGGAACTTGACATTTCAGAGTATGTTAAGAATGTAGTGTTTGTATGCAACATAAAGGAAATGTCAATGGTCCTAACCAATCCAGGTGTACCCAAAACCCCTAGCGAACCGTGGGAAAGAGTTGTCCTTGATTTGTTAACCAATTTTAAATGTTCCCTCCAAGGCAACAAACATCTGTGTGTTATGGTAGACCATTTCACCAGATATTGTTAGTTCCTATTGCAGAAAAAGACTCTGAGACAGTAGCTAAAGCATTTAAAGAACGCATTATCTGCAGGCATACCACCCCTAAGTCTTTAGTAAAGATTTAAAGGAGGTGGGAAATTTTGTAATGAGATTCTTGAAAATTTGTGTACTTTGTACAAAATCTCTAAATCCACCATTGTTCCTCATCATCCTGCCAGCAATGGGTTAGCTGAACGAACCAATAAGAAAGTACTTGATGTCTTGAGAGCCACTATCAACCCCCAATAGTGAAAATTGGGATGAAGTTATACCAGATGTTCGATGTGGGCATAAAATTCTGCTTACAATGCTTCCATTTGGTGATATCCACATTATGCAATTGTATGGTGTAGACAAGCGTTTACCCCATGAGTTGTTATATTCCACCCGAAACCCAATTACAACCCTGATGATTTCATAGCGACTCGTACCAGCATAGCTCAGAGTGTTTTTAGAAGAATCCATGAACACTTCATAAATCAACAGCAGAATTTACTAGAGTTACTAATAGCCGTGTAAACCTCAAAAGTTAAAGTGGGTTTTAAGGGAAATGGTGACAAATTTCAATAAAAT